TCCATAATATATAGTATAATATATAGTATAATATATATATATATTTATGATATATTCATTCATTCTTTTTTTTTATTATGTATGTTTTAGAGTTTCTATAATATAATAAAATTTTAGAGTTTCTATTATTACATATATAAAAAACATATACAATTTTTGCTTTTGTTAATAATATAAAATAAATTTTGTTAATGATTTTAGCTATCATTTTTATATTAATAAAATGGAAAATTTTTATATATTATAATTCAAATAATTCTACAATTTCAGAATTCCAGCTAATAAATACGTATTTCAAATGACTTCGAAATTACATACAAATGTATTACCATTATTTGAAGATGAAACAGCTATTCTTCACGAGCAATATGAAGAATCATTGTTTTATGGAATGTTCCTCACTCCACCAGACAATAATTCAATTAAAGATAATACAAATTTGTAAATTTAATATAATAGTATAATATTAAAATTATTATTTTAACAATTATTATTAGAAATAAAACTAATAATTATTATTAATATTTATTTATATTTATTTTTATTTATTATAATAATATTTATTTTTATTTATTAATATAATATAATAAATAAATAAAGATTCTAATTTTAAATGTATTATTAATTTAAAATAGATAAAGTCAGATTTTATTCAATTATACATGTAAACATAATTAATAATAAAAACATATTTATACATTTATACAATATATTTAAATTATTATAATTTATAATTTATTTTAATATTGCAATATTTATATATTGTATATAATTATTTATATAAAATATTTATATAAAATATATATGAAAATATTTTATCGTATGTTGATAAAATTAATAAATTTGTAATAAATTATAAATAATGATTGCCAATAATATAAAAGATTTTAAATGCATGCACGTTATTGGTTTATTTGTTTGATATGAATCATTGCGTTCAAATCCAATTCAAAATAACTTGAAATTGGTAACTTATACTTAGAATTAATAATCTTAAAAATTACATTAAGATTTATACAATTTAATTGTACAATTAAATTGAAAAATTTAATAATATTTGCTATTACTTCATTTTTTTTAACTTAACCTAAATTATTAAATCTTTAACCAACGATTAATTGCTATAAGAATAAAAATAAATAAATATTTAAAACGATTAATGAAACATCTTTTTATTAAGTGTATTTGAATATGCTAATAATTTTAATAATTAAACTTAAATTTTAATGATATATAATATTAATAATATACAAAATAATTATTTTTTAAATAAATATAATGTAATTATTAATTTAAAACAATGAGTGAATTTAAATTACATCATTTAGTGGTTGAATTAATTGGATTACTTGGGTAAGTAAAGATTAAATATTTTATATTAACATTTTATAAATTTTTAATTAATAAATAATATAAATTTATATCAATAATATAAATTTTATTTTGATTCATTAATTGTAAATTGCGTATTTTGAATTAAATTATCAAATTAAATATTATAATATAAAACTTTATCATTTCACTAAATGATTTTTTTTTTTTATAATAGATCATCTTCTGCACCGGAAAAACATGTAGAAAAATTACAAAAAGAAGGAATACCAACAAGTGCAAGTGCTTTAACTATAGTTGCATCGCAAAGTTCTGTTCGTAATTTAGCAAAAAATTCTCCTGTTCCTGAATTATTTCTACAAAAATATGAAGAATTAAAAGCAAAAAAGTAAATATGATAAATAGCATACATAAGTTTAATATAAAATAAATATATTATTAAAATAATATATTTTTTTTATAGAGTAGATTTATTAGGTTTATTCATTCAAGTATTGGAATTGATATCTGAAGATAAAGAATTAAAGAGTTATTTGACTAAAGAAGCATCAGCTTTAACATCAATTTCCACAAAAAATGCTGCTATTACTACAGAGGATCTACCACAGGTTTTTTTTGTTTTTTTATAAATATAATATTAATTTATAAATATAATATTAATTTAATAATTATTTATAATTATGTTATGTTTTAAAAAATTTAATTATTAAATAAATTATATATTAATTTTAAAAGTATTTTTATAATAAAATTAAAAATATATTAAAATTTACTTTTTAAAAGTACTTTTTATAAATTATAAAAGAATTAAATTTTATAATTTTTTTTAATTTAAATTATATTATATTATATTATATACAATATAGATATGTAAGAATGTAATTAAAGCTGCAGTTGAAGGAGAAAAGAAATTAAATAAACAAGTATGTGCAATTTCAAAGAAAGTAGAACCATCTGTAATAAAACATAACTGGGTTCATGAGAGACCTAGAATAACTTGGGACTTTTATAATGAACTAAATGTGATGCCATGTCAAAGTAAATATTATTTTAAATTTATATAAAGGATTAGTATATTAATTTATTAAAAATAAAATATTTGTAGAAGTTGTACCAATAGTTTCTCAAGAATCTATACTACTTTGGGATATTTTATATTGCTTAAAAGGTATAGATGGAATTTATATTGTTTCTGAACCTTTAACAAGTCCATATGCAATGAAAACATTCAATATATCTCCAGATGTTTGTAAGAATAATAGATTATATTTTTTAATTTTTATCATTAAATGTATAATCTATGAAATAATTTTTTTTTTAAATCATTTTTAGGTATATCTTATAAACAATTGACACAACAAATATTACCTCTTGCATCTCACTATTCTATGACAGCTAGATTTGTGGAAGAAAAAGTTTTACCAGAAGATGGTCAAGTAAATCATGCTTTGAGAGAAGCCATAAAAACTTTATTAAAAGATTATTTAGTATGTATAATAATATAATATATTTACATTAAAATTAATATATTTATATTTATTTTGATAAAATTGTGATTAAATTGTTTATAAAATATAAAATAATTCAGTATTTAAAATTTTTTAGTTATTTGTTGTACAATTAGAAATGGAACATGTACGGGGTAAATTAAATTTGCAAAAATTATGGTTCTATATTCAACCAACTATGATAGCAATGACTATTCTTTTTCAAATTACATCAACTATATGTAAGGTCAGTTTTGATTTTTTATATTTTTTTATATTTAAATACAAATTTATATAACAATAACAAAATTGATATATGAAAAAAAATATTTTATTTTAGGCCAATGCAAAAGGTGGGAAAGTGCTTAGTCTTTTGCATGAACAAGCAAATAATATTAGTGGAGAAGCAAAATTTAGAGAATTATGTTTGTTTCTTATACAAGCAGCAAGTGTTCCATATATGCAAATGTTAGAAAAATGGGTATATAAAGGAGTGATATGTGATCCATATGAAGAGGTAAAGCTAGAATAATATTTAAAGAAATAATATATCATAATTTCATTTAAAAAAAATATACCAATAAATTTTTGTATGATTTTTAGTTTTTTGTGGAAGATAATGAATTAATTCATAGAGAGGAATTACCTATAGATTATTCTGCAGATTATTGGGAAAAAAGATATACTATGAGATCAGAGAGAACTCCTACGTTTCTTAATGAACAGGCACAAACAATTCTAAGAACTGGAAAATATTTTAATGTTATTAGACAATGTGGTATGTAATATTATTATAAAAAAATTGAAATTAAAATAAATCTTAAAAATATAATTGTATAAAGGTAAGACAATTCAATGGGGAAAACAAGAACCTCTGATTTATCAACAACAAGGACAAAAATATATAAGTGCTATTGATAGAGCATATTCTGAAGCAGCAAAGACTTTATTAGAAGTTCTTATCCATGAAAATGATTTAATGGGTCGACTTCGTAGTCTGAAAAATTATTTTCTTCTTGCACAAGGAGATTTTGTAGTAAGTTTATAAAATACTTCAAATACAAAATATTTCATTAAAATACAGATTACATAACATAGAATTACATGATATTATTTAATTTTAGGTTCAATTTATGAATCTTTGCGAAACTGAATTAAATAAAAATATGTATGATATTGTTATTCATCGACTAGCATCTCTTCTTGAAGTTGCGTTACGTATGTCTACTGCAGATTCAGATCCATATAAAGATGATTTAAAGCCAGAGCTTTTACCATATGATTTACAATTTCAAATGTTTAGAATACTTTCTATTCAAACTAGAGAAGAGAAAGGTATCTTATTAAAATATTTATGTAATTAATTTAAAAAAATGTTAAATTAATTAAAATGTTAATTTAGAAATATAACATTCGTTAAAATAAAATATACTTTTAATAAAGATAAATTAAAATTGATCAAAATAAAAATTTGATCAAAGTAAAAATGGATATTAAATTAAATTTTTTTTTCATTCTTTCAATTTTTCAATTTTTAAAGAAATTTATATTTTTTATTTTAACTTTTATTAATACATTAATTAATCCAATTTCAAAGCTTCTTATGAAAATTAAATATTTTAAAAAATTATTGATAAATAAATTAAATAAATTAATAAATAAGTTAATTAAATAAATTTAATATTTGGTATAGTTATAATATTGTGTAATCAATATATGATTTTAAATGAAAAAAAAATAAAATAATGTGTCTACATTTTTTTCTATTTTATAATAGTAGAATATTTTTATGCTTATTTTAATTAAATTATTTTAAGTAAATTATTTAATTCTTATTTTATTTTATTTGTATATATAATTTTATAATAAAAATTTTTGTTTTAGAATATAGTTTCCAGACTGATAAAATCTTAACTGGTTTGGATGCATTTGTATTTAATTATGATGTTAAATGGCCTGTTTCTTTAATATTGAATAGAAAAGCAATAGCTTGTTATCAAATGCTATTCAGACATTTATTTTATTGCAAATATATCGAAAGACGTTTATGCAGGTTGTTAACTTTCCATTTATTAAAAATTTCTGTCTTATAATTTAAATGTTTTTATAATTTAAAAATATTATAATAATAATAATAATAATAATAAAATATTTTACATTTTATTTTTTGATTTTTTTAGAGTATGGGTAAGCAATAAAATTGCTAAAACTTTTACTCACAATGTAGCAATGTCCTATAGACAAGCATTTTCGTTAAGGCAACGAATGCTTGATTGTATTCAACATTTAGCATATTATATGATGGTTGAAGTTATAGAACCAAATTGGCTTACATTTATAAATAAAATGAACAAGGTATGTATATATATGTAATGAAATTCTTCTGTAAAATATAATTTTAATTCGAATTTGAAGTTCCATTAAAATTTATATTTTTCTTTCAATAATGATTATTATATATTACTTTCAGAATTGATTTTATTTGTTGATTATATTTATTTATTTATTTGTATTAATTATATTTATATATTAGTTTTATCTATATAATGAAAAATTTAAATTGAATACATAGGTCAGTAATGTGGATGATGTTCTAAGTGTGCATCAAGATTTACAAGATAGTTATTTGAAGGAATGCATGTTAACAGATCCTGATCTTCTTGGCTGCATAACAGGCATTTGTGCTGCTTGCCTTGAGTTCTGCAACTTTATGGAGGTAGGTATTACAATATTCATATATAAATATGTAAATATATGAAAGATAATTTTAAATTATTATATAATATATATAATATGTATATAAAATATAATCAAAATAGTTTGACTAAGTTGCATTTTTTATTTTAATTCAAATTCTTTCAAATATCTTTATTATTCAATCAATACCTGCTAAAAATAAAATTATTGAGTACAAATTAATACAACAAAATGGATCTGAATGATGTTTTTATTATTAATGTCTAATCTAATATCACATAATGTTTTAATTTAATAAATTCTATAATAAGCATTTCTAATAAACATAATACTGAAAAAAGTAGTTTTGTGTGTAGTAAATTGAATTTTAATATTTTACTAATGTTAAGCGTATGAGCCCATACTACATTGACGCCGAATTAACATCCATGATTGGTGCCTATCAGGAAGATGTCTATGATTCTGAGGTATATCCCCAAAATTATAACTTCGCTTCCTTGCATCTATGTAGTATTAATATCATGAAGCTTTCTTTTTAGTAAAAAAAAAAAAAATGGATCATCTTAATATGACATATAAAAATTAAATTCGCATGATATATTGATACAATATAAATTGATATAAAAACTTGAACTTTTTTATTTAAATCTTTCTAATAAAGAAAAAAACAAATCTGAATTTTTTGAATTTGAAATTTTTTTAGCAATATAAATGGATAAATTTGATTTTTATTAATATGTTTGATTTTTTAAATTATTAATATTAATAATAAATTATTTACTTTATTATTTATCAAATTTAATTATTTATAAATATTATTATTATTTATAATTATAATTATAAATAATTATAATTGTTATTATTATTATTTGTAATTTTTTTTTATATATAATGATATGTAATAAGATAATAAGATAATATTATATATGCTATGAACTCATATTATAAACTATTATTAACTCATATTGTCATCATAATAACAGTAATAAAATTTTATTATTATTACTGTTTTATTTTTTGTTATTTTATTTATTTATTTATTATTACTTGATTATTATAAAGTTTTAAAAATTTTAAATATTTATATTTATCCAATTAAATATTGGTGAACAAATATTAACTCATAAATTTACATATATATTTTTTATTATTCTATGAAATGGCAAAAAAAATTATAAAATTTATATTATATTATTTCAATGATAGGACAATTAAACATTTAATAGGTTTTATATACATGTATATCTTATCTATAGATATATATTTTAATATATCTTATTTTGATTAAAACTTTATATATAAATTTAATAAATTTGACTTTAATAAATAAATGATATATATTATACTTCAATAAATGATAATAATAAATTGCATGCTTTATATTAAATATATATTATATTATATTAAATATTTTTTTTATATTAAATCTAAATTATATATTTAATTATATTAAAATAATATAAATTTTACAATATATATTAAATTTATATTATATTTATAAAGTAAAAAACAATTATTTCTCTATATTAATTGCATGCAAATCAGATATTATAATTGTAATATATATTTCTGAATATATATTTTTTTTAATAAAAATAATATGTTTTTATTCCTCATTATTAAAGTTATAAAGATATAAGCATGATACCTTATTATGAATTATAAATTTTCATTATAAAATAACATTTATAGTGAAAAAATTTTCGTTTCTTTTTTCAGTATTTTTATTTTCAATTACAGGTATATTAAATTTAAAATATATTTACTCTTCAAATAATAATAAATTTTATGAATTTCTTTGAAATATAATTGTTGATTTATATTTCTATTTATTTATATTTTTTATAATAAATGCTTCTTAATTTTAGTTACAAAAAATCTGGTATATTCATTTAATTAAAATATAAAATTAATAGCTATATATTTCATTCATTTATTAGGATGAAGATGGCGATACATCTAAAGAGAATGCAGCCAGTTTTGAAGAAACAATTATATCGCTGGATGAAAAATTTACTCAAGTATTAATTCGTCTCTTAGATAGAATATGTAATCTAGGATATGATAATAATAATGAAAAACTTCTTAATGTGTTTTGTAGGTAAGTTATAAATATTTATTTTAAAAACTGGTTCATAAAATGCAGTATTAAAGCAAAATAAAACTTTTCTAAAAAAAAGAAATAAAACAAAATGTTTTTGAAAAATCAATCAAATCAAAATTAAATCTTGAAAATATATTTTTTTTTTTTTTGAATTTATTATTTTATTTATATGGATTACAAATATTAAATAGAAGAAAGATTTTCTATTTTGAAATTTTTGCTTTCTTGCTCTAAATAAAAATATTATTTATTTTATTTCATATATACAATCTTTTATATTTTATTATTAATTCATTTAAACATTAAACATCTATCAGCATGTCTCACAGACTCTAGATTTAATGTCTTAATAAATGAAAATTTAGAATTATTAAATTTAATAATCATCATAGCTGAGTTTTAATTTTATTGTAGTTTATCTAATATTCATGTTATCAATTTAAGAAATAATTTATAATTCAAAAAGATATTTTATAATAAGAAAGAGAGATAATTAAGAAATGATATTTATAAGTGATATTGATCATGTTAAAAAAATATATTTCTATTTGTTTGAATAATATCTATTTTGCAATTAATTCTTGGTACTTATACAATTTTTAAAATCAATTTTCTCAAAAATATTAATTAAAAATTAAACTGTCTAATAATGCTACATTTTATGAAACATTCAGTATATTTTTTATGTAAAACAAAAATAAAATTTTTAATATTATCATTAAATTTTATTTTTTCAATTAGGTTAGATTTCAATTTATTTTATACCGACATTTTAATAAAACGTGGAAGAGAAAAAACAATACAAGAAGATATTTCTGGTTAATTATTATTCATTACAGAAGAATATATATAACCATAAATTGTAATTTTAACTTGTGATTAATTATTATAAATTGAAATTATAATGTTATAATTATGCAATATGATGTCGGTTAAAAAAGCTTATGATCAGATAACATATGTTAGATCTATTTATATTCTATTTATATAATAATATTCTAATTTATAAAATCAATTTCATATTCAATAATTACTAATTAATATAAAAAATTTATAAACAAATTTAATGTAATCATATGTTAAATATTTTATTTAAATTATCTAAATTCACCTGAAATTTTTTTAAAATCATATAAATTGCTAAAATAATGATATTTTACTTAAAAAATAAAATGTATTTTATAAATATAAAAAATATAAAATAATTCATAATACTCATATTAAGATATTTATATAACTTTAATTCTATACAGAAATGTATTTTTTATATATAATATTAAATTATTATGTTATAACAATAGTAGAAAAATTTTATATAATAAATTTATTATTCAATATATAAATTTATTAATCAATATTATATATTAATAACAATAAATAATAAAATTTCATTTATAAATTTATTGATAATTAATTAATAATTTCTTTAATTATTTACATAAAAAATAGATTTATTAATTATAAAATGATGAATTATTTTATTATACACAACATAAATATGTATGAAAAAATATATAAAAGTATTAATATATTTGAAAAATCAGTTTTAAACATCAAAATAAATATAAAAGTTGTTATATAAAAATATTGCTTGAATTTTATTTATTAAGTTATAACACATTTTATATATAACAATTTAAATAAAATAAGATAGAGATAAAGTGAAACAAATTTCTGACATAATGATTCAAAGATTAATGATTTAACAAAATTAAACAATATTACTTATAATTTCTTCCCTCTAACTATTTTCTTATGTTATTAAATATTAATGATATTTTTAGACATTAAATATAATATCAAGTATATATATATATTTTTTTTCATAACTTGTTTATTTCAGTCTTAATATTAGCTTCTATAACAAAAATTTGGAATTTATTATATATATATATATTACATATAAAATTAAATGATTAAATAATTTTATTTAATAAAAATATTACAATAATATAAATAAAACTAGTATAAAAGTATAACACTTTCAATAATTATAGCATGATTAGAAATTTAACCATTCAATCACAGTTGTAACAAAACTAAAAAATGAAAAAATATGATATTTTAATTTTCATGTTCTAGAATATTACAATTATTATTTTCAATTTTCTTTTTTATAGAATTCAAAATAATCTCCATTGTCACGAATCTTTTTTCCAATTTTTCTAATTTATTAAATATTTTTTCACTATCCGATTCTTGACCTTTTTTTATTAGAATATCTTTAGCTTGTTTAATAATATCTGGATCCATTTTAAATGTAGGAATCACTTTATTTTGAGAATTTTTACTTAATTCTACTTTATCGTATAACTTACTTTCATAAGTTTCCAAACTGTCATATGATATCACACTCAGCTTACCACTATTTAAATAGTTCGGAAAAAGGAGAATTTTCTGAATAAGAAACGCTAATGGATTACATCTCCAGCCATACAAGAGATCGCAACAAATTAAACAATATGATCCATGTGTAAAAGGTGCTTGAATAATCACATTTTCAATGTAAGCAAGAATTCGTATTCTGGAAATTAATCCTACCAATTCTGCCTTTTCAAGAATATTCACAGTGTCGCTGACTGCTAAACCATTTAGTAAATTAAACAACACTATTGCGATAAGAAAGACAAAGAGAATAAAAACAAAATGACTAAGAATAGGATGCGAAACAAAGGGAATATCATTAGCGTCGAATTCTCCAGTAAGCATGATAATAGTTTTGAATAACGAGTGTCCAGGATCTGGAAAATTTTCATTACTGCCATCTTTAAAAAGAATGAAGAAAGCCAGTGCAAAAGCTAGAATAAGAAACGCATAAAGAAACAAAAAACGCATGAAGTTAAAAGACACTGTTTTAAACATCTCAATACCAGTGGACATTCGAGGATGTTTGCCAATCAAAATTACTAATTCCCAGGCAGATAATAATATTGTAACGGCCGCAACTTGTGTAGTAGCGCTATTTAGAATAGAAAATCCAAGTATTATTAATATCATTTCGATCCAGTTTTCCAAACATGACATATAGTGACACGGCGAAGAGAGTAATTGAAGAATTTCTCTAAATGCGAATAATGCTGTCACAATGCCCGTAAATATTTGTAAAACATAGATCGACATTGAATTTTTTATTTCTCCATTCATCTGTTCACTCGAATTCGTCGACATTTGTGTATCTTTTACGTAAGTAATTTGCAAAATATAGATATTTAACAGAAGATAAAATAAAATGTAAAATGCAAAGTTCAGATACAAAATGTATCTTATTCGATGCCATTTGAGATATAAAAAAGATGACAACAAAGGATGTTTTAATAAGTGTTTCAAACTATTATTGTTAGCAATATATTGGAAAATATCCATTTCTCGTTTTTCTTGATTTTTTAAATTTTTTTGTTGATTTATCATGTACGAATTATCGTGAGGCATTAAACATTTGTAATCAAATTCAATTGTATATTCGTTCGTTCGCTCTTTTCTAGCTACTATGCAGTCATCAAAATATTGAGATAAAGTAGATATAGAAATATCAGCAACTGGTGGAATGCCGAAATTGTTCATGTGACCGATATAGCTTCCTTTTTCGAGTAACAATGTCACCGCCTCACGACAATCAGCTTTTGCTGCATAATGAAGTGGAGTATTTCCTTTGCCTATATAAAAGTTTTTTATGGTTTATTATTTTAAAATTTAAAAATCCTAATAAAGTTCATTTTAATACTATAAATGTATTAAGATAAAGCGATTTTAAATTTTTTTATTTATTTGTAATACAAAATATTTTCCGAGATATTTTTTATAGTATAATATATATATATAAAAATTATTTTTATATGTGACACTATTTAATACACATATATAACACTTACCATCTATGCATCGAACATCTATATCCTCTCTTTCCAAGATTAAATTGAAACATTCCAAACGATCATTCATATCTTCCGATCCTCCTTTATGTGGTATATTGAGTTCTATGCAAGCATTTAATAACAAATCGCTTTTAACTTCAATATCAGTTTCCAATATCTGTCGAAGGATATGTGGTAAACCTCGTTGAATTGCTAAATTCGCAGCCTTTTCTAAGTTACATTTAATTTCTTTTGTTTTTTCTAGCAAAAGAACGATTGCTTCTTTGAAGTTTTTCTGAACGGCCATTTCAATCAATTTCTCTATATCATTGTTTAACATATCATTTTGAATGATTTTTAGACATCTTAAAAAATTCATTTCATCATTGGCATTTAAATAATACTTCAAATCATGAATATTTACATTTTGTTTCTCTATAGGAGGCAATGAAATATTCGGTATTTTTTTCTGTAATATTTGTCTAGTAGTTTGGTTATTATAATCTTTATAAGTATCTAAATTCAAAGCGTGTTTAGTTTTTTCCAAAATTAGGTTCACCATATTTCTATGATCCTTCATGGCTGCTATATGCAAAGCTGTTAAACCTTTGTTATTGGGAATATTAGGACTAGCGCCTTTTTCTAGAAGCAAAGACGCACATTTTAGATCATTCTTCTTCACTGCTATGTGCAAAGCTGTTTGTTGTACAACCTCCAGATTTGGATTTATCGTGGGTTCATCCAATAATATACTAAGGACATCCGCATGACCATTTTCGGTAGCAAAGTGAATTGGTCCACGATTATGGACTTCGTTGATCCTGTTCACCTTCGCCCCTTTTTCCAATAAAAATTTTACGAACTCCGAAAGGCCATTCTTGCAAGCGATGTCCAAGCAAGTTTCATTCGATTGATTCGGATAGGCGTAGTTTATATTGATGATAGATGGTTGTTTCTTCAAATTTTGCTCAATAAGACATTTGAAATGTCTAAAATTTTTTGTTCGTAAATAATCTAAGAGTAGCTTATATATCGTTTGAGATTTTATAGAATTTGTAGTATAATCATGCAAAAGATGCATTTGCAAGGTTTCATCCTCAAGATCCATATTCGAGTCTGAAAATAATTATTAAAAGATTAAAAATTTTTCATTATCAAATTTTGAAAAATTGAAAAATTTAAATAAAATATTTTTTATTTCAATTTATATGTGATAAAATATTAATAAATTTTATATGAAATTATATATTTGAAATATATATACTATTTGATATATTTGGAATAAAATATACTATTTGATATCTGTGTAAGTATAATGAATCATCATGATATATTTTTAGCAATGATGTTATTAATGCCAATTAATATATTTATATTATTGATAAAGTAACTAAATATTATATCATATTATATTTTTGCAAACATTTACTTAAGAAAACTATCTCTATATTATAATATAAGAAATTAAAAATTTTTAAATAATTTAGAAAAAACATTTTATTCAATATTTTTAACATGCTATATATTTTATTTATTAAATAAATTTAAATATAAATTCAATATATATATCTTAAAATACGAAGTAAATACGTATTTATCATGCATGGAAGCAAAAATATTGTCCGGATGCGTTTCCTGTCATTAGCATTAATTCAAATTCAGACAAACGAGAAACGTCGACAACGATGCCATTGAATTGATCATTAAATAATCCATGCAATAATACTAAAAGTTACAAGCTTTGTTATCTATGATGGAATATCAAATATCATTGTGAGACAATGAATAAAGATAGTTATCATTGTTATAATATTCCGAGTTAATAATTAAAATATTTCCCACTTAGTTGTATCGGTTAATTATTTATTTATGTTTTATTAATTATTTTACCTTCATGCCTCAAAAAGAAAATAAATAAGTGATCAAATAAATGATAAGCAATACCTTTCCTTATTGAATCAATCGATAATTT